GCGAAACTACGCGGCGGAGCAGCGTGAGGCAAAGCATCGCCAAGTCGAAAGGGAAGTGGCGGTCGCACGGCGCTGCAGACGAAGGGGTCCCTCTCGATGGGCCCTACGCTGTTCGAACGCGTTTGTGAGAGACGAAGTAACGAGCGCTCGCTACGCTACACACAGCGGCGTAAGAGAGGAGGATACGCGACTCCTACTCGCCAGGTCTCATCCAGCACGAGCACAGCCGCGATTGCACAGTGATGGATGATCGGTGGTGTCATACGAGCTGCAGAATTAAGTCCGTAGCAGCCTCTGCCTAAAAATCAGCGCATCCAACCTACCATGAATGATGCAACCTGCATCAACGTCACTGCTGGTGCTTGTGAAAAACATAAGAGCATCGGAAATACAAGACATACTCTAACAGGTGGCATCAAAAGACGAAGTCCGATAACACTCACACGGGAAAGAGAGCAGGAGAGACCACGAACACACACAAGAGAGGCCCGAGCACTCGTCACGTTTGGTGTGTTGTGGTGTGTGTGTGTCTCAACAAACCTAACCACAAGGAACACCCACAAAACCGCCAGCAAACTGGGCCCCAAGTAGAATAATGGAAGAGCGAGAGTCCCCAAGCCGTCGACATACCACGAATATGTCCCCATAGTTAAGAATATTTTAATTAAAATAAAAACACTAAATGACACAATAAGTATCTTATCATAGATATGCCGACACATTTATTTTTCATTTGGTAAAGTTTACAACAATACATTTAAGATTTGTCAGATATTTATGAGAGTGTAAATCTATATTTTAGTAATTTATTTAAATGGAATTAGTTAGCATACATTCTTATTAGTTTTGTCTAATTATTTGGTAAAATAGAGTAAAGCTAATTACATATATTTTCCATTAAAATAAAAGTTAATAATGAATCTATTTTTTTGGTCATTACCTGAAAATAGAGAGAAGTAGATGAGAGAAGAGATAATGAAGTAAAGACACAAAGAGAGAAGAGAGATCACAATTAGACAAATCGAGGAGAGAAGAGCAAGAGTGATGAATAATAAACTATATGCAAAAAGTAAAAGAAAAAGACAGAAGAAGAGTGAAAAAATGGTGAGGAAAGAATATAAGAACAGAAGAGAGTAGAGCGAATGGTAGAACTGCAGCACTAAAAATAAAAGAGCGAAATAGAATAAACTAAGCACGAGAGATAGAGAAAGATTGCAGAACGAGCCTGAGTCCAGCGAATCGAAATGAAGTGAGAGAGAAATAATAATCTACAGAGAGAGCATCAAGAGGAAATCAAGAAGAGGAACAGAATGATATATGAAAGAGATAGAGAGAAGAGAGTAGACAGAGACAATAAGAAAAAGGAGAGAAGACCAGACAGACCAATATGAGAGAGAGTTGAAAGCTTCACTTTCAGCTTAAGAAAAGAAGAGAGCAGCAGAGACACGAGCAGATATGAGGAGAGATGGACCAAAAGTGAGAGTAAGGATAAGAAAAGAGTAAAGAGAGACAATAAGAAAGAACACAGAGACACCCATCAGAGCAAAATAGAGAGAGAGGACGTAGATAACAGGACGAAGAAGGTGATGGAATAAGAGAGACGAATAGAGAAGAAGAGATACAAAACGAGAGAGATAGGGAAGAAAATGAAAAGATGATATGAAAGAAGCAAATGTTCAAACAAAGTAAAGACGGAAACTATCAGTTTGTAGTGGCGATCGATAAAATCTGAGAAGGACTCGATAAATAGAGAAAGATAGAGTAAGTAAAAGGAGTAAAGTGCGAACAAGAGTGCAAGGGAGAGATGAAAGCGAAGATCGGTCCATGGCAGAGATAAAACACCGAGAGGCGTCGAGAAAGAGAGAGAGAGAGAGAGGAGCAGGACGATAAGCAGAGTGACAGTGAGGGACGAACATTAGATTTAGGAGTGAGTTTTTTTGGTTCTAAAGAGATTGGGATTTGTGGCGCAGTGTCAGCGAGAGAATGAGAAAGAGAAATGCGGGGAAACCAGCCAATGAGCAGAGCGAGAGGATAAAAGAAAAAAAGCATCATAAATAAAATTATTAATAATACATAAAAATAAATAAATAGATAGATCTATAGATCTCTTCCCGTTATCCTATAGTTGATTTGTGTCATATATATTCTTAATGAAAAAATATTTCACTAAAATACGAAAGTTAATTTTCTGTAGTCAATATACAAATAAATTTTTCCTGCGGTCTGATTTTATTTTTTATTACTAAAAATCGATGTAACTAATTTTGTAGTAGAGGAAAAGAAGCGGCAAGCAGTATGAAGGTGGGCGATACAAGAATAGGTAGGTGGTGCGGTGAGCGTGTGGTGGGGCCAAAAACCCAAGAATTACACTACGGTGTATAGTATGTAAGGAGTACGGGTAACACAGTAGGGTAGTGTCAGCTAATGGAGTGGAGCTAGGAGTATGACCAAAAGGTCAATGTATAAGTAATAGGGTATGTCGCGATAGACAGGTGAATGTGGCTACAGTAGAAGTAATGGTGGTGGTGAAGATGGGTGTTCAGCATGTATGTGAGATAAGGGATAGAGAGAGATGTAGAGAGAGAAAAAGTGAGAGACAGTAGAGAAGAGAGAGAAAGACAGAGTGATGAGCGAGAGAGAGATAAAGAGAGGAAAGAATATAGAAGAGTGAGAGCAGACGAGAGAAACGATAGAGAGAGACATATAGAAAAAAAGAGATAACAAGAGTGAGAGAGACATAGAGAAAACGAAGCGAAAAGAGAGAGAACCGATAGAGAGAATAGAAAAATAGAGAGATAGGAGAAAAAGAGATGAGCGATGAGAGACAGAGCAGAAAAAGAGATGAGAAGATGATAGAGAGAAGAGAGAATGAGCGAGGAAGACATAGAGAGAAGACAATGAGAGAGATAGAGAGAAGAAAGATGACGAAAGACACACAGAACAAACAGACAAACAGATAGATAGACAAACAAACAGAGAAAAAGAGTGATGAGTGAAAGAGAGAAAGAAGAATAGTGTGGATTGAATGGCATTTGCATAGTGCTAAATGGTGGAATAGGGAGGAGAGAGAAAGATGAATGAGGAGAGAAAAGCAGTGAGAGATAATAAGGAATAGACAGAAGTAAAAAGACACAAAGTGGTGCGCAAAGTAAATATAAGTGCATTTTCTTGTAATGACCGATATCGGATAGGGAGCACAAATAATAAAGAAGACACGATAATGTTCCAGACAATCTGTTCAAACTTAATTAAATCAATTTTTAAATATTTTAAATATTTTAATATTTTAAAAATATTTTAATTTTGTGAGAGACAGATAAAAGACAGATAGAGAGAGAGAGACACAGAAGATAGAGTGATGAACGAGAGAGAGATAGACAAAAGGTTTGCAAAAGTGTATTTTCTTATAGTTGGATCGATAAATCGAGAAGGAGCTGATAAATAGAGAAGATAGGAGTAAGAGAGTGAGCAAGTCGAACATAGTGAGGGAGAATAGACAAATAGACAATTAGACACAGAGAGAGAAAAGATGATGAGTGAGAGAGAGACAGGGAGAGAGAGATAGACAGAAAAGGAGAGAAGAAAGAAAGAAGAGATGGAACGATAGAAAAAGAGAGAGAAACAAGAGATGAGCGAGAGATAGACAAAAAAAGAGAGAAATAGAGCGAAAAGAGATGAGCGAGAAGAGACACAGAAAAGAGAAGAGAGACAGAGAGAAGAGAAATGACGAGAGAGAGAGAGAGATAGAAAGATAAGAGAAGACGAGAGAAAAGAAGAGAAAAAAAAAGAAAGAGAAGAGATAAGAAAAAAGATATGAGCGAGAGAGACAGAGAGAGAAAACAGATGAGAGAGATAGAGAGAAGAGAGATAGGCAGAGACACAGAGAGAAAATGAGAGAGAGAGAAACAGGCAGACATAGAAGAGAAGAAGAATAGAGATAGAGAGAAATGAATGAAAAGAGATAAAGAGAAGAGAGAGAGATAGAGACAGAGAGACAGGAAAATGAAAAAATGAATGAAAGAGAAATGTTATATCAAAGAGTAAGACGACATTTTTTTTTTAATTTTTTTGCGACAGAAAAATACCGTTGAATTTATTCAAATCATTTTGTGACTGTATATATAATGAAGCTATCTCAAACCACAATCACCAAAATCTTTTAAAAAATTCACTAAACATACCAAAAATACAAAAAAATACCATAATTCAATACATTTTTTTTTGTATTTTTATGTATTATAATTTTTAAAAA